GACTGGTGGAGAACAGGATATAGAAATTTACAGCATATTACAGCCTAATATGGAAAATTTGGGGAAGTGACAAGGTACCAAATAAATGTTAAAATACAGCTGAAGTCAAGGTCACCAGAGTTGAGGAGCCAAGGAACCAGTAGTCAAGGTCATTAGTCACCCTGTTTTCAATGATTAACTCTTAGACTAAATATCTTTGAAGATTTTAAGTTCCCCAAGGTCAAAGGCTATCTTTTGGGTTTCACACAGCTCAATCCTGATCACATGACGTATGGTTAGGTATATACTGAATTAATTTAAACAAAAAACAAAGTTGAAACAAAATCACATTGAGGAAAAGTGACAATCGCCACAATATTGAAGCATTTAAGCAAGGTGTGGTGGCACATGCCTGTAACCCCAGTACCCTGAGAGGTTGAAGCAGTAAGCCCACACATTCAAGCGCAGCCTGCACAATTTACTTAGTAAGATCCAGTTTCAATAAAAAATTAAAAGGGTTGAAGATATAGCTCAGTGCAAAGGTTCTGAGTTCAATCACCAGTACCATACACATACAGAAGATTTAAGTAAAAGTTTCCAATTTTTTTGTTCAGTAATTATTTATGTCATTTAATTGATAAGAATTCTTATAAAGAACTAAAATTAAGTTTAACTAGAGATCAGCAACCAAAATTCCAATTGGGGGAGAAGGATAAAAATATTTCCCAGGCAGGCTTACCTCACTTTTATCTGTAAAACAGTCAACAAAGCCTCTGAAATCTGTATTATAGCTAAGTATAACTTATGTTATATAAGATATAGAGCCTCAAAACTTGGTTATAAATACCTTTTACAATGGTCCAAGTGCAAGGGCAGAGTTTCTGAAGTCTTGATAAGGATAGCTGGAAAGCTAGGACAGAAACGTGGGTAGGTAAGGTTTAAGCATAGTTTAACATTTATCTTCCCAGCCTGAAGATTTAGGACTTAATTCTGGTAGTCAGTATCCTTTGGTGGAGAAATTACACAAGAGAAAAAATTTTTTTTCTTAGTATTAGGCTGTGCAGGAGAAATAAGAAATAGAAACAGATGCAGAGAATAGGCAATGGCAAGCACTATACTAGAAAACAAACACACATCCACTTAGAAAGTTTATTGCCTTCATATGTAAACCAAATGGAAGACTATTAGTCTTTCTTTTTTTTTTTATTATTAGTCTTTCAATTAAAAAAAAATTAAAACCGTCCTGCAGTCTTGCTAATCATCGAGAGGACAAATTTAGACACAGCTGTTGTTAGTTTACCTCTGAACCCAGCTATATTCCCATGTAAGTCTGTTCCTCCTTACCACATCCCACAATTATGGCAGTAAAATGTGGGGGAGGAGAATTAGGCAAATAAATATAGCACCTGGCACTAAAACAGTTGAATCATGATCGCCATCAATTCTGTTATAGTCTCTACATCTTCTTATAAGTACATGAAGTGCTTTAAACTTCTCGCTGGATCAATTTTCTCTTTTGTTTTCCCTGAGACAAATTATTGTTCCAAAGATTTAAAAGTCTGAGGGCCAAGACATATCAAAGCCAATAAATCCAACTCATTCATTTATGCAGACATTAATATTTATTTTTGTGGGTATTTTCGGATTACGCAGTGAGCAAAACAGATCTGTGCTCTTGGAAGCACACATTCTAGAAGGAACTACGATACTTGCTTCTCTGAAATCATCCTATCTGGGCTGGAAGTGTAGTGCAGTAGTAGAATCTTGTCCAGCATCTTCAAAGCCCTGTGTTGAAAGCCACCAGCACTGCCCTAACTGGCTAATGTCATTATCACTAAAGGAACAACTGATATTTATTGAGCACTTGGTATGTACTGAAAAATAGGGGGAAAAAAGTCATACTAACTAGAGAACAATTTATTATTTCTTCATAAGCATTTGTTTTTTTAAAAAAAACCCTCTTCATGTCTTGTTGGGCCTACAGCCATTTTTTTCTGAACTCACTGAACCAAAAAAAACAAAATTTTGTTAAACCATAGATTTTTCTGATCTTTTTCTGAAGAAAAGAAACATATGGCAGGAAAGCTAAAAGAGATTTGTCTTGTAAAACTCCCAGGCGTTTTAACTGGTTTGATTTAGGACAGCCCAAGTCTTGTACAATTGCAATTCTGTATGTAAATAATACACAGATAATTTCTTCAGCCAACACTGCTTCCTACACAGAGTGAAATATATGAAATGAAACCTCTGATTCTCCTAGAAACTGCTAGGTTTGAATTCAGAAGGGTGGGTCCAGAGTGAAATGTGGCCCTAGAAGCAGGGAGGAAAGAGATTGTACAATAAAAAGTATTTGGATGGGGGTGATTCGGAAAGGAGAGTAACAGGACGGGGAGAATAAAACAGGCCACCAGACTGCAGGATCCTGACATGCTATACTTGATGTTCAACATCAACACTCTTGTCATTGTTATAAACTGATCTCCCCTCCCCGCTACATCTTCCATGAATTTGCCACAGCCACAAAAGCTTTATGTGAACATCATTCCCTTCTCGTACCCTTTCTAGCTTCTCTCAGATACTTCTGGTTCAACAACTGCATCACAAACATCTCAGCCACTCCTGTAGTACCTCAATGGGTTGGTCCTGAAAAGAACTTATTATCTTCCCTCCCCTATCTCTACCATTGTTTTTCACTATTCCACCTCATAGCCTCCAACACTGCACTAGCTCACCATCATCGCTAAAGGAACAACTAATATTTATTGAGCACTTGGAATGTACCAAGTATTGTGCCAAGAGCATTACATGCATAGTTTCACTTGATCCTCAAACTCGACTGAACAGGTACTATGATAATTTCTTAAATATTAAGAAATCAAATTCAGTTAGGATAGTAATTCTACGGCTAATTAATAAAACTAGAATTTGACCCTGTTCTGACAGCACAGCCAACTTAACCAGTACACTCCCATATCCCAAGGCAGAATCACACCTAGTCACTTACCTAGGCCAGCTTCCTAGTCATACCTCCTAAGTGGCACGTCATCTTTGTATGCCTTCATCTAGAATGACAACTATCACTGCTCAAGTCCTTACTACCTACACCAAGCACTATTCTAAAAACTGTAGATAGTTTTTCAAGTTTTATTCCCCAAACTCCAGATGAAGAGTCTACGGAACAATGAAGTTACCTACTGAGTGAGAACCTGATTCAAACCTGGATCACCTGGAGAATCCTTGAACATGCAACCCTGTCTTAGTTACGTTTCTCTCCTTGCTGAGACAAAATACCAGACACCCAGAACTAAGGAAGGAAAGGTTTATTTTTTAGCTCACAGTTTGTGGAAGTTCCAGTCTAGACTTGGCTGGCTCCAAAGCAGACTGGCACATGGTAGAGGGCAACAGTTCAAGGCAGTGGAAAACAACAAGAGCACAAAGGAAGGAGTGGCAAAAGTAAGCCTCTTTCCCTCCCTAATCTTGTATGCAAACTACTCGCTCCAGGGTGGGTGTAGCACTCACACCCATCATCCCAGCACTGGACCATGAATCAATCAATCACAAACTCTAGAAGCCTGCACCCATGACTCCATGAGGCTTTGGCGGGGACACCTAGACACAAACCATGACAAACCCCTACATTGTAACCACCTCCTACTTTGTCCCTCTATTCTCAAATCTGGACCTCCACCATGCTCTAGATATCTTTCTGCAACGCAAATGTTATCGCAACAGTCTCCTGTGTAACATTAGCAGCTCTGTTATCACTGAGTGGATAAAGTCCAATTTCATAATGTGGTATACAAAATCACTTTTCTGCTCAAGTCAGTTCAATAAATATTTGAGTGCTCACTGCAGGAAGGGCAAAGTGCTAGGTACTTTAAAATGAGTAACACACCAGCCCAACTTTGACTTCAACCCCAGACCCTATATCCTTCGGTGAGATCTCATAATGCAACACTCTAAAGACAGATGCATTAAGGATGGACCTGGCAAATTCCCACATTCGAAGAGTGCCTAGATGAAGCCTTCTCTAACAAGCTCTGGGTAAAAGTTCCCTTTTAAATTCCCACAGCAAGTAATTAGCGGAACAGAGGTATGGATCAGCTTCTTGAGGAATTCTGGAAAAGAAGTGACCCTTGATATCAATCCTGGCATGCAATTTATGAATCCTGGTGAGCAGTTTATGAATAGCTAAATGTATAAATAAGCAATTTCAAACACGAGGAAATAAGAACCGCACCATACAATAGGGCTTAATACAAGTACTGTTAATCTACTGTGCTTCCAATTTGGCCTACATTTTATCCCTATGGGAAAACTCACATGGTGGCAAAACTTTATTACTCCTAGCTCAACAAAGCTTTGACAAGTCAAACAGGATACCAGAACCCCATCCTCCTTTCCTCTTAACTGCCAAAGTCCTTTTTCCAAAGGGGTGCGGGGGTGGAAATCTATCAAATGGAATTGATTTACTGAGATCCAACTTCATAAGCGTTGTCACAGTACACGCAACTGAAAAATCAAAATCTGTCCTGGGAAGAAGGCCAATTTCCAAGTAAGTGCTGTTGCTACAAGAATGTAAAATTCTTAAAGCAAGAACAGTTCCAATAAACCGAAGCTCACAACTGTTTCCTCCTCCTGCACTTCTGCTTCTCCCTCGAGTTGTTTCTTGATTTCTGTGATTTAGGAATAAAAAGCTAGACAGTGAAGCCCATGCAGACAAAAAACGTCTGGATCTACAAGCTTAAACGCAAACGCAAGTATGAGAAGAAACTACGTGGAAGTCAAACATCCTTTGCTAAAACGTGGCATAAGGCTTTGAAACGCGAGTGCTGTATACCCTCAGGGGTGCTTTGTGTGCAACTGCTCCCAAACCAAGTACCGTATTTTCAAACTGCCCTCGGGCAGATGTCAAATGTCTCTCCCACCCTCCCAGCCTGCAGAGGAAGGTGAGAACACACAGGCAACAGGCACTGCGAGAGGGCTCTCCCCTCCGCCCTTCCCAGGGGAACCAAACCTACCGCGAGGGCAGCGAGTGCCACTCTCCCGACTAACACACACGCGAAATGAAGAACTCATCTCCACCTCTCCCCTTCCTTAAAAAGCAAAGGTCGCACAGATCCGCACCACGGTGGCCGAAACCACCCAGTGCTAACAGCCGGGCCGCCCGCCCTCCACGCGCCTGCACCGCAGCGGGCTCCGGGCTCCGCGCTCCGGGCAGCGACTCCACAGCTCCGCGCCCGGCTCCACGCTGCCCCC